TTATCTACTTTTTTTTTTTTTTTTTTTTTTTTTTTTGAAACAACGAGATTATCTACCTACATGGGTTGTATGATTGTTTTTTTTTTTTATTAAATATTAAAAATGAAAGAAATTAATCATAGATATTGAAACTTTATTTCGAGATAGAGATTTTTTATTTTTTTTAATTATCTCCGTGTTATATTATTATTTGCAACGATTAGACATTTTTCTCTCTATTTTACGTTAAATGGTTGCAAATAATATGAAACACCTAGCATTCATTTATGGACAAAACTAGGGGTGAGCAAGACCGGGTACCCGGTCATATTTGTAATACCCGGATCCGGAACCGGTTATAACCGGGTCCCAAGAATTGGAACTGGTCCCGGAACCGGTTAATACCGGATCCAAATTTTTTGGAACTGGTCCCGGACCCGGTAGGAACCGGTTCCAAAACCGGGTACCCGGTATTATTCAACGTAGTAAAATACTGTTTTTTTCTTTATAATTGTTATATAATATATTATTATATATAATGGAATTTTGCAGGCTAGTTATATTAACATAATAATATCCCTAAATTAGTTTTGGAGGCTAGCAAAATACAAATATTTCAAAATACAAATATTACAAACTAATAAGCCAAAAAGTACCAATTCAACAACCTAAAATATCAGTACAACAAACTTCAACAATGCTGCAAAGTCCAAACATCCAAACATAACCAAAACAACTACTTAAATAAAAGTTCAGAAAAAAAAGGGAAGAAAAGGAAGGGCAGCAACAGGCAGCAGCTGAGCACACCATCAGCAGGCAGCAGCTGAGCACACCATCAGCCAGCAACAAGACCAGCAGCAAGTCAGCAACCATCTAAGCAACGGAGAAAGACAGCATACAGCAGACAACAAAGCAAAGAGGCAGCAGCCAACAAGGAAGCACAAATTCCCTATAAACAAAAGCCAAAATGTCCTTAGAATATTTGTCATTTGATATCTTTTCATACAATATAATTAAGAATACAATTATACAAACCTTTGTCACATCAATTATTTCCAACAAATTCATTAACTTGTGTGATGCCAGTGTCACTACCATCCAATTCTAAAAAAAAACAGTAAACAATATAAGTAATAAACTTAGAGAAATAAAATAGATAAATATACAAAATAATAGAAGTATTAGTGTATTACCTTCTTCATATTTTTGAACATCCTCAAGGAAGCGCTCAATATCAATGCATACATTTGACGCCCTTAACCAATCTTGAGTACAAACTAAAGCTTCCACCATATTTGGCCCCAAACTACTACGAAATTGATCAAGTATGCGACCCGATGTACTAAATGCGGATTCACTAGAAACCGTAGAAATTGGTATAGCCAAAATGTCCTTAGCCAATGTTGACAATACTTTGTATTTGTCACTTTTTTCTTTCCACCAACCCAAAATATCAAACATTTCCCCTTCAACCCTTCTCTCCCGAGCTTCTTCAAGATAATAATCCAATTCACTTTTTTCAACAATAAAATCACTTTCTTCCTCATCAAAATCATCATAAAACTTTTTCATTTGCTCACTATTTGAAGAGCTCAAGTTTTCAGAACCATTATCCACATTGGCAACATTAATATTACGATTATTCTTGGAAGAGGAAGAAGCAATAATAGCATCATAATGGTTAAATAACTTCTGAACATTGTCATACAAATTGTCACAAATAACATCGACTTTGGCAAAGTTGTTAGGATAAAGTTTTTTAAAAGAATACTTCAAAAACCTAAGCTTATATCGAGGATCTAAAACAACCGCAACTAACATCATGATATTAGTTTTACCGAGATCCCCATAATACTTATCAAACTTTTCCCTCATTTGTCTACCCATAATACGAATATCCATATTTGTAGAGTTTTCCCATTCTATCAAACAACTTAACACCTCCAAAACCTCGTGAAAATACAAGTTTGTAGTAACATATAAACTACCCGACATTTTCTTTGTAGACTCATAAAATAATTTCAAACACAAAGACAACACTTTAGCATTTACCCAATCTTCTTGTGTAGGTACTCCATCCTTGAGTTCCCTACTAAAATCAGGATCATCTTCCGCAAACCTATTAAAAGCTTTTTCAAATTTCAATGCGGTTTCAAGCATGAGAAAGGTAGAATTCCATCTAGTTGCCACATCAAGACAAACTGAACCTTTACAAGAAACTTTAACCAACATAGAAGAGTGTGCAAACAATTTAGCTCTAGAAGGTGAACTCCTCACATATCTAACAGCAGCACGAATTCGAGCAATCGAAGACTTCACACTAGATAAACCATCTTTCACAATCAAATTTAGAACATGACAAGCACATCTCATATGAAAAAATGAACCCTCCAAAACAAGTTTATCATGAAAATGTGTTTTCAAATATCCAACCGCCACATCATTTGAACTAGCATTATCAACAGTTAAAGAAAACAATCGATCCTCAATCTCCCATTTAAGAATACATGCCTCCACAACTTTTCCAATTTCCTTACCTTTATGACTATCCATTAATTGAAAATTTAAAATTCTTTTATGCAACTTCCAATTATCATCAATAAAATGAGCAGTCAAACAAAGATAATTAAAATTTTGAATGGAGGTCCAACAATCAGTTGTTAGTGACACTCTCGATTTCAAACACCCAATTAATTTCTTTAATTTTCCACTTTCACAAACAAATATATTCTTCACATCTCTTGCAACTGTAAAACGTGAAGGTATATGAAATTGAGGTACAGCAACACTACAAAAATACCTAAAACCTTCACGCTCAACAATAGAAAATGGTTGTTCATCAACAATAACCATTCTTGCCAAACCAAGTCTACAAGCAGTTTCATCAAATTTCCAATTAGAGACTATAGTAGCATCAGATTCAGGAGACTTGTAAACAGAAATGAGTTTTTGCTTTTTGTCTACATTTGGAGGGTATTTTGAACATGCACCAAGGTGTTTCTTTAATGAAGAAGTTCCATTATTAGTATTACCTGTTAGCATTTTCTCACAATATTTGCATTTGACTTGAACAATTTTTTTGGTTACTGGATCTCTAAAATCCCAAAAATGGTTCCAGTATTCAGACTTCCTCTTGTCACCAACCTTGGTTGATTTGGTTGTTGCATTCTCGTTTCCAACCTCACTTTCATCATCCATAGGGACTGACGAATTGTCGGTATTGCTCATAGTTCTGAAATAGGAACAAATTAAACTTTAATAAGACATAAACATTACACAAAGTGAGAGTGATTATATGCATTACACAAATACATACAACAGTCAGAACTGATATTGTCTCACTCACATAAACACAAAGAAAGAAAGGAGAGACAATATGCACAGATCCTAGTACATCATCTTCATGAAGAATACAAAAAGGAATTGGAACTTAATAAAGAAAAAATGGTAATTAATCTTATGAAAAGAAGGTTCCTTTAGTTGTTGAAACACTTTCTCCTCTATAAAAACCTTTTAAACAAGCAGAATTCTACATAGAAATCCAACTGTAGTTCCTGCACATGCATCACCATCTACATCTTTCTCCACAACTACAAATTTCAGAAAAGACCAGCTCAATAAAACAAGAAATAGATCTGAAAATCTGAAAAAAAACAAGGTAAACCAATATCATGATAACTAGATTAAAAAAAAAAAAAAAAACACTATTGCAAAGATGCAAGGTGAATGTGATCAGAAGATGGGATTGTAGTGTAGTGTAGTATGATTTTTTTATTTAATCATTCAGTCAGGAAAAAAATTCAACAAAAAATTTTTGAACTTTGGGAAATATCTCCTCTAAAGAAATTTTTCCACTAATCCATCGCAAGTGGTAAAAGCCAAAAGATAGAACATTGAGTTATTGACTCTGTTTCTTCCAATGTTTTTAACTCTATCAGGGAGAATGCAAGCAGCAAACATAACATCATTAAAACGAAACCCCAGTGTACCCACCTCATGTACTGAGATCAACACCACAATGTTAACAGCCAAACAACAACTTCTATAAAAGCAATGACTGAACTAAACATGTACAGCAACTAAAAATGGTACCCACCAATTAATACTCAATAAGAATCTATTCAAACACCCAGAAATTGCAGAAAAAGACTATAAGTGCAGTCAATTTGTACCAATTCATTGATTTCAGCATATTAAACACTCGTAACACCCTCAGAAATTGAAGAAAATAAAAATTAAAATTAACATAAACACTCTAACTATCTCCAAAGAAAATGCAAGCAGTAATAAACAGTACCAGAGATCTACATATGCAAGATGAAACAAAAAGCAAACAAAGTGAGAAAAATACTTACGAAAGAGACAGTCGTTCAGTGGCTTGATGAGAACGAAAGAGAGGATGAGATTTTGAGTACCAAGAGAAAAATACTTACGAAAGAAGACCGAGAATCAGTGAATTGATGAGAACGAAAGAAGACAAGATGAGATTTTCAGAGGAGAACAGAGAAGATTGAGAATGAACAGAGAAGAACAAAACCCTAGCAAAAATGAATTCAATGAAATGAGGAGGCTTAGTGGCTGACAGAAACCCTAGCAGAAATGAGTTGGATGAAATGGGCCTAATGTTGTATTGGACTGTGGATTGTTGGGTTTTTTAAAAAAAAATAATTTTTTATAACTAAATCAGTACCGGTTCCGGGTACCCGGATTGTCTGGATCCGGGACCGGGTACCCGGAACTGGAATTGGTTTAAACCGGGTACCCAGTGGGTACCGGGTCCGAAATTTTAGGACCCGGTCCCGGAACCGGTTACAACCGGGTCCGACATTTTGGACCCGGTCCCGGAACCGGTGGGACCAGTTCCGGGTCCGGACCCGGCGGATCCTAACCGGTTCCGGGTCCGGTACCGGGTACCCTGGGTCTTTGCTCACCCCTAGACAAAACTAGTACGAGTAATAAAAATCAGACGTCATGATATGGTACACGTGATTAGCGAGGCTTGACCCATTGCCTAAATGCCTGACATTATTTCTATCAATTATCAAACTATTCAAAGTCTCTTTCCCCACATCAACTCTGAACCCGCCTTTATTTAATGGCTTAAATATTGATAACGTTTTGATCATTACTCACTGTATTTGATTATCGATTTTCTGCAAATCTATAAAAGTAAGTCCTCACTTTTCATTTTTTTTTTTTTTGCAATTTTCTGTATTTCTTTGCATAATCACTAAGCTGTTGCTGTTTCAGTCAATTACTTTTCTGGATTGAAATTTTGGTTTCTGGAACTTTTTGGATCTTGCATCTTTAATTATTTCTGGGTTTAATTTTGTTAAATTTCATAAAGATTTAGATTGTTGGGGTTTAATGTAATGATGAGCTTGTTGTATAATTAAACTAAACAAATCAAAGGGTTTAATTTTTGTTTTTTAATTATTTTTGTGTGTGTGGGTATTTTACCATGATTCAGTAGATAATTTGGCTCAATTGTTTGTATTTCACCATAATTAATCACAATTTTGATGAATACAAGTGAAATGTGTATTTGGGTGTTTTGAATTTGCAATAGCAAAAACTGAGGAAATTATGAGGGGTGTTTGTTGTATTACCTCCTCTATTGTGGGAAATTAAGATGGCTGTAAGCATATAGACACATGAGAAACTATTACTGATAAAGTAATCTTTGATTTTCGTAACTGATTCGTCGTTATAAATTCGATTTATTCAAGCATTTAGCTCATGCTAGAATACTGACACATGCTAGTTATCTTAAATGGTCAAGTTATAACCTTGTTATTAGTTTTTGGATAATGTTATCAATTATCTGCTGGATTAGGGTAGTTGTTACATTGTAGTCACTTACTACCAGTGAATTAAGTGCTTGTTCGGATATTCGTGAATAGCAATTATAGCAACCGACAGTGTAACACTTAGGGATGGAGGAAGATTATGGCAAATTGGTAACCACATTTCTTAAAAATGGAGAAGAAAGTTTGAAAAGGGATATGATAGTTGTAATTTGTAAACATTCTGTAGTGTGAACTTGGATCTTGCCCTGAATGGTTACTTTCAGAGCCTAATCGGATGATTGACAAGCAAACAATGATATTTGGTCTCTGTTTTTATGGCAATATATTTTGATTCTGAACATCTTAGATATCGTTGATTCTTCTGATATACTCCGCTTTTGCTTCTAAATTCAGTACACCACCACTCTTTGTTATATCATAAAGTGAGTGTCGTAAATTTGAACTATGGTCTTGATGATGCTTTGATTTCCATTTTGCAGGTCTGCTGTGTGGATTCTCATAAATCCTCAAGATGTTGCCCATGTTGGATTTCACTAAAATGAATCGTGGTGAGATCATCATAGTGGGAAATGCATTTTGTGTATTGCTCTCACTGCATTTCACGATACAACTTCTATCACAGCATCTTTTTTACTGGAAAAACCCTAAGGAACAAAAGGCTATTATTGTGATTATCCTCATGGCTCCCATATATGCTGTTGTGTCTTTTGTGGGTCTGATGGATATTCGTGGCAGCAAAGCATTTTTCATGACCTTGGAATCGATCAAGGAATGTTACGAGGCTTTGGTAAGTTTCTTATTTGCATAATTTCTAATCATGTGATTGGTTAGCTTAACTACTATAAATCTAATTTTCCCCATTACTTTAATGCAGGTCATTGCTAAATTTATGGCATTAATGTATAGTTACTTAAATATATCAATCAGCAAAAATATAGTGCCTGATGAAATCAAAGGAAGAGAAATCCACCATTCTTTTCCAATGACACTATTTCAGGTGAGTTTATATACCGACAGTTTTTCTTTTCATAATTGAATATAAATACATAAAGGACAGAATAACAGGACTGTGAAGGTGTTTCTCAAGCCAACCAAATTGAATCCTACTGAGATCTGTTGAACTTGGCAGTTTTTAAGCAAGCAAACTTTGCACTTGGCAGCCCAGTCTCTCTAAGTATCTTGTAGTAGTAGTATTGAAATTTGCAAGTTGTTTTCTAAGCTAAAATTTTCATGCTGTATTGCATGGCCATATATAAGAATGCCTTACCAGAATGTTAAGTATACAGAATCATAAGTATATAACATTGAAACATTTCACACAGAGCAGTCTTGTTACAAAAAAGCGCGCGCGCACACATACACATAATTTATGTTATTATAAGGCATCTTTTGTAATAGATTTAAGCTAGGACTACAAGTTAGTGCGTACTCCGATTGCTTGTAGGTGAGATACATCATACTGCAATATATTCAATACCACCATCACTGCCAACACCATAATGTGCATCCTACTGCTTTCCAGGTCTAGTGAGGTTTGGATTCATGCATGCATCGGCCTTTATTTAGTTGTGACCGTTAGAAAGACCATGTATATTCTGTTGAGATGATGACTTCAAAGAAAGTAATATGGAAATGGTATCATATTTTGTGTAAAAATATGATCAGGAATTGGCTTTTATGGTTCCATGCATATTTGAACTTTCTTAAGCATATATCACAATTAGAACATTCCTGATTGAGTGTTTGATAAGGGTCAAGTTGAATTTATTAACTTGATAAGTTGCTTGCTAAGTCTAATGCTGATCTGGCCTGCTAATGCAGCCTCACACTGTACGCCTAGACCACCATACACTGAAGCTTCTGAAGCTATGGACATGGCAATTTGTCATGATTCGGCCAGTTTGCTCCATCTTAATGATAGCATTACAACTTGCTGGATTATACACCTCTACAATCAGCTGGATTTTCACAATAGTCCTCAATGTTTCAGTATCACTGGCTCTATATTCTTTGGTGGTCTTTTATCATGTTTTTGGTAAGGAACTTGAACCACACAAGCCGCTTGCTAAGTTCCTCTGCGTTAAGGGCATCGTCTTCTTTTGCTTTTGGCAGGTAAAATCTTCACAAATCATATTGTGTGTGTATCCATCAATCTAATATGCTGGCTTTTTATGTAGCAATCTTTTTGTACATTAGTTTTTGTCCTAATCCACTTCAATTCACACAAAAAGCTCATTCATTGTCTTAATACTGTCAGGGCATTGTGCTTGAGCTTCTGGTTGCTGTGGGGATTATTCGATCTCGATATTCCTGGCTGGATGTTGAACATATTGAAGAAGGAATCCAGAATGTGCTAGTTTGCTTAGAGATGGTCGTGTTCTCTGTTCTTCAACAATATGCCTACAGCGCTCAACCTTACATGGGAGATGTTGGTAAATGGAAAACGAAGAAGAATGAATGATGAGAATAATCAAGTTTGGTCATTATTTATTAGTTTGACCACGGTCGACACATGTAGCTGAAGAAAAACTATTGGGGTTGTGGCCCTGTATTTTGCAGTATTATAGGGAGAAACATATTGCTAGAATGCTATCATATTGAATATTTTGAAGTAATATGAATGAATTGAATAGTGTAGTTGAATCTTAGGAATTGCTCCTTATGTACCAGAACAATAATGGTGCCTATAATGAATGTAATAATGTACTGCATTATTTAACAGACTAGAGGCCAAGTAACATACGACAAGAAGCGTTTGGTTTAGTTAACTTAAATTCCCTCCGTTCCCATAGGCCTTAGTCGTATCTTAGAAGAGGATGTCCGAGGTGTGGCTTTCCCACGCCTAGTTCCTCCTTGATTGTGTGTTTATTTGTTTTCTTGTTTTTTCTTTCGTTTTATCTTCTTTGTATTTGGCTCTGCCTCTCTTGAATCAAAAAAAAAATAAAAAATTCCCTCCGTTCCAAAATGTAGCTCATACTTGAAATTGGTGCAATGCCCCAAAGACTAAGGGTAATCGTCGAGATTGATTGATGTCCATGGAAATTTTCTTTGAACCAAACATAACCAAAGTATGAAAAGGAAGTTTGAAGTTTTGTTTGGGACAATTCAAAATACAGTTTGTGAAATCATTTTCAGATGGAGGGAGCATTTAATATGACTCGCTGCTCATCAAATTTGCCAAGTAATAGGATAACGTTTAGCTGTCAAAACATATTTACAGATTTTACACATATCTCTTGTACACCACTACCTCATTGTGGGGTGAAAAGTTCCATACATCCTCTTCCAAAGAGATCTTAATACAAAACTACTAGTACAACCACATCCACAAGATGATGTCGACAATTATGGAGAGCAACAGCACAGAGATGACACCACAGTCAAGAGATGTATGTATGTGACATGGAGTTAGCAGCGAAGGGCAGGTGCCACAATTGTTGGCCGAACATTTGACACAGATCTTGAGTAGTTTGTGATGCAGACGAGATATTCAGTTTTCCACAGTTTACTCCAGAACAGGACCTTCAGTGATACCTGAGAAACATATATTGCCACTTGTATATCAAGATAATAACAGGGTCACATCCTAAGAATAGAAATTCCTTCACACAACCAGATAGAGAACCAGATGATGTGATGGAAAGGGATAGCTAGCTCAATATATTAATCAGATATTCCTAGTGTATCCCTATAACACTACCTAAAGAGTAAAGAGTACTTTCTCCATTAACAAGATATTGTCACATTGCTCGAACCCCTCATAACTAAGATATTGATATTATAATACCACTATAATGGTATGATTTTCACCTTTTCCCCATCACTCAATCTAAAGAGTAATCAGATAGAACAACATATTGATGAGGATTTTTATATCAACTCAGCTTCATCTGCCTTAATCTGGCAGAAACTTTCACCTTCCGTAGCAATCTTCACATTAGCAAACATAACTACAATATATTAACATAGCCAAATAGGACTAGTTTCATCACTTTCATGGCTGATATAAATATTAAGAGGCAACTCGCTACTGCACTCGCACATAGCCTTGTACTAATAAAAAATAATAATCATTTGAGCATATTAAAGGACAGAGAGGAAAGAAATATCTATTAGATGCTCTCCACATTTTCAAGGAATTTCTTTCAACGATATATATCAGGTATTTGAAATCATATAAGAGAATAATATGACCTAATGATTTAATGAAGGGGGGAATAGTGGCAAATGGACTTGAAACTAATCCTCCATAATTAGCTGCATCATGTGATTCATGTCAGCAAGTTAATCAGTTGATTGGCCTCAATTAGAATTATAAATGCAAATCAGGTTACTCATCATGTTAAGTACAATCCTCTAATAATGCTCCCAAAAAGATGATTTGATTTTCTAGTTCAAATTTTTAATAAGGCCTTAATTTATGAGAATTTGTGTACTTATCAGCAGGATCAGACCTTGGAAAGCTTCTGTAGTAATGAATACTTCTGTTATTTTTCCAATCAAAGGCAAATCATTTGAGAAATATAGCAGATTTTAGGCAGAACAATATTAATGGGCTCAGTACAGGGAACAAATGGTGCTCATGAAAAAAACTAGCTGTTTTCTGAAATTAAACAACTTCTGTGGCTCAGTGGAAGAAGATAATGGTGTTACTGGACTTCTTTAACCTTCATACATAGTTTTATGCATCCTAAGGATGGATATAAGAAAGGCCTTCAGCTAAATTAATGTCATAGCAAAGAATTTCCATGAATGACATTAGTGCCTTGATTATTTCATGTTTTGTTCACTAAAACTATACACCATTTGTTCGCAGATAGAATGTTATGAATGAACATAAATCAGAAAGCCATAACATGACAGGACAGAAGAAGGACAATGGAAAGTATCCATTTACATATATTCTCAGAATAGATACAAGCAAAACAATGCACTAACCTTCTTGGAGTACCTTAGAACCTTCATAAGAGAAAAGGCGAATTGCATTTGAGTAGCTTAATCCTGCAAGTTCTTCTTTACTCATCTCGAGCAGAGATGCCACATAGGTAAGTACATTATGAATATTAGCCGGATGATTCAGCATTTCTTTTGGCAATTCTGATGTTTCTTTCTCAACTTCTAACACGTTACTGTTAGCCCTCAAATGTGGATTCTCCCCTAGTGCCTGAAGTTCAGGAGGAAAGGAAGGATCACCTTCCACAAAGTACAAGTCACCCAAATTCGACTTAGGCAGTGCATCAGGTGCATCAGTCTCGAGCAGGATTCTATCAGAAGGCACAGCCTTCAGCATCTTCTTCGCCTTTTGTGATTTCATTGACATAAGAAATCCAGACAAGGAAAAATAAGCACCAAGCCTTGTTAATTCAGGGACCATCTCAGCAGACCCTAAGTAAGAATGAAGAATTACACCATCAGGAAAAGGCCCAGTTGCCTTCATCACATCAAGAAGGTCACCAAAAGCACGAACACAATGAACAGAAGCCGGCCTTTTCAGTTCTTTCGATAATTCTAGCTGTTTCCTGAATACTTCAACCTGATCATCAAAATCAATCTGTTTCCCCCGTGACCCTTTATCTAAACCAATCTCCCCAACAGCTGCAGTAGGTGTAGACTCAAAAAACTCTCTCAGAATAGTAAACCAGTTCGTCGTTCTCTCAGGAACAAACCACGGATGAACACCAAAACACGGAACAACACAAGGATAAGACTCACTCATCTGCTTAACCAAATGCCAGTCCTTCTCAGAAACCCCATTAACAGCAAAATGGGCAATGCCAGTATCAACAGACGAACGGATTAATCGTGGGGCGAGGCTTAAAATCCTAGGGTCTTGGAGGTGACAATGTGCATCAAACAGTTTCATCGCCTCGCTCTAGGCAACCTACCCTCACAATCAAACACACAATGATGTACTTAACAATGAAATTTCTGCTTTCTAAACAAAAAAATTGATCCAGCTAAAGCTACCTAGCTGAGTAATCATATAATTATACTGCAAAAGGCTAATTTAGCCCTTAAATTACATATATTTATGATGCAGAAGCACAGAAAATTGGACAAACATTCAAATGTAATATATCATCAGCCAATTTACAAGAAAGCAAAAATTAACTAAAAAAAAAAAGTTTCAGCATAATCTTTTGGCACTATAAGAATGAAAAAGCTAAGATAAAACCCAATTCAATATTTTTTTTGGGGTAATTTTTAAGTGAATAAATTCAGCTCTTCAATAATCTTGCATATAAAAAGTAAACCCAATTCGTTTATAAACTGAACATAATACAGAAAGTAAGAATAAAAATTATCTAAGTTCATTAAAATTTAGCTTAAATATTAGAAGTAAGTAGAAACAAGACATGGAAAATTTTAGAGTTAAGTTGGAATTAAGTAATTTTACCTGATGAATACGAGTATAATTTTTTGATAACCCTAATTTCAGGTTCATCTGTTTTTGAGTGGATTGCAGAGTTTAAGGGAAGAACAAAATACAAATTACCAAAAAAAAATTACAAAAAGAACGCTGTTGCCGGGGATCGAACCCGGTCACCGGCGTGACAGGCGGGAATACTTACCACTATACTACAACGACTTGGAATATTCGTTAAGTCAAAGTTTTAATTCTGGTTTAATCTCAACATATACTACAGAAGTAATTTTTATACTCCTACACCAAACAACATTCCTATCTTATTAACCAAACGCCTATGAATAATGTTATGCCAACTAAGGGCTTGTTTTCATAAACTGAACTCCGCTGAGCTTAACTAAACTGAACTGAGTTGAAATGAATATTTTATAAGAGAAAGAAAGAGCAGAACTGAACTGAATTGAAAATAAATGTATGAGAACAGACCCTAAGTGTTAAAAAAAAAGTTTACTTATATAAATATCCCCATTTATGCATGTAAAACACTGACGTTATCTTTTTCTTTAGATTTTACCATAGTAGCTTTTTCTAGCATTTTTTCCCCTATATTTTAAAAAGTTTGAGATTAATAAATAACGTTTGGATACTTGTACCCTTTAAAACTAAAGTTGTGATATAAAACCAATTGAAAGAGATTCTGACAAGCCTAGCTATGTACACGCATCGTGCGCATTAAATACCTTAGTATTTCCAAATTTTTAACTCAAATAAAGTTTTCCATTTTTCAAACAAATACTTTTTTGTTAAATGAGCTAAGTGAAATTTTTATGTCAATTATTCTTAGCACTAATGTGCAAGTTTTACTTATTTAAATTAAATAAGCAAATTTTACAAGCGGTAATTGTATGGTGCATAAGCTAAAATATGTTATTTAAGTTAATAGAGCAAATTTTCCAATCAATAATTGTATTGTGCATAAGCATAAGCATAAGCTCGAAATTGATATAATTAAAATATACCTTAAGCAAATTTAACAAGTGACTACTATGCATACATCACCAAAAATAAAGAGTCTATGTATACAAGAATATTGTAAAAGTAGAAATGTATTATCTAAAATTAATGGAAGAAGGAGAAGAAAAATAAAAATTTGGCAGGACCGCATCGCATATTCATGTTTGATAAAATTGCAAATAATGAAATTAAATTGTTATTAATACTATATGTTCTGATATTATAATTTGGTTATCAACTATTAGTTGTATACTCGTATAGTTTAAAAATTAAAATAAACCAAAAAAAATAAAAACAAAAAAACGCCGTTGCCGGGGATCGAACCCGGGTCACCCGCGTGACAGGCGGGAATACTTACCACTATACTACAACGACTTAAATAATGAATTGAGGTGATTTTTCTAATTTTGATAGAAATTAAGTTTTCAAAAAGGTAGATAGAACTGTTGTATAGGAAGCCCATAAACTAATTATTTCTAAATTCTAACTTAGGCCTTGTTTAATCACCTTATTTTTACTTACTTTAGATTAGAAAAAATAAATTATTGTTATGAAATATTTGTGGATATCCATTATCCTCCTTTGTATCATTCCGGAACAATCTAGATCTAGGGTTTATATTCTTATCCATTCAAACCCTAATATATTGTATTTATATATACCCCATTATATGGAATAGAAATACACTGATATATTCTCTATCAATCTCTCTTATATTTCTCTCTATTTTATAATACGTTATCAGCACCATACCTCTGATTTAAGCGAGTTTGAATAAATCTAGCCACAAAAAGGTACGCATATAATATTTTGAATCAATAATGTATAAACCTGTTTTATCAATTTGATTTAACATCATATTCATAGGGCAATAGATTTGACCATTCTTTATTTTAAGATTTAATTTGATATCGGTTTCATTAATATGATGGTTTTACTCTCTTATTTTGATACTGTAATTCATCATTTACATTTTTACATCATATAATTAAGTTGTAATTAAGTTGTAAGGGTGCCGGAATATGCAAACCTTTTGTTTGTTCTATTTAGTTCTATTACTTTGAGTTGTTTTTACGTAAAATTAATCTTTGGTTTGTTTGAATTCACATTCATCTTAGAATTACAGGATACTTTAATTTAATATAATGGGTTTTATGGTAAATTATTATTGTGTTGCTTAAATTGTATTATTTGGTATGCATTTGCTTCTCTAAAGATACGAAAAGATAGGCAGTAGAAGTTTTTTTTTTTTATTATTTAATGTGCATAGCAATATTTATACAAGCTAACAGCAAAACAAGATCCCTAACCCTACGACAAGTAGGACAGGAAATATGCCTATCTTAATATAGATATCATATATATCATAAAATCAAATATATACTCCCATAATTTATCCTAATATCAACTGTTTATTAGATATGAGGATGAGCATATACAAGGATTCTAGTAGGCGTAGCTATTATGTTGTGTGACTTGTAGATTGTTGTAATTATCAATTGGTAATGAGTAGCTTGGAATTTTATAATAGAATAATAGTGTCATTAGACATATGAATAATAATCCATGATTGGTTGTTTCAACAATTTATCTCTACTGTACTCTTAATTATAATTGCATTACTCTTTGTGAACAAGAAATTGAGGTAATATATATTCGGTTACCTTATTATTGATTTTTTTTTTTTTTTTATCACCGTTAGGCTTATACTTCGTATATATTAGATTATAAGCTATCAAGCCCCTTGATCTATTTTAGTGTTGAACATACATTAGTAGTATGTGACCTATGTGTTTAGCTTCTATATTATTTGGTTGATCGGAAAATTGATTCTGGCTATATTGGTTATTATTTTTCCTAATGTTTTGTGGCTTATAGTGATTAAATGTAATTCGAGTGCAATGTTACATATTAAAGTTTATATCTGTATGATTGTTTTATAATATATAAATATATGGGGAAGTCGGATCTTTATTGATGATTTCAATCGTATGTTTTATTGATTTAAATTTATAATATCACACATATTTTAGCTACAGTATTTTGAGGAGTGTAGACATTAATTAATTATATCAAGTTATTATATCATATTAATCTTTTTGGTAGTATATACTAAAGAAATAAAAGGTATTATCAAATTATATCTTTATAAGAGTCATAATTACATATGACTTACACATATGGAGCTGTTTTTAAAGTGATCAATTTGCAAATTATATCTTCTGCACTAGTAAAGGTATGTCCAATATAATTACGGATTTAATAGTAATGCCAAATAATTATTTCCTATAAATTATAATAAATTTGAGTTTGATAAATGATAACATATATTGCTTTAAAGTGCTAAATGGTACGACTCTCAATTTATTGTACCTTATTGTATTAATGCATTATTTGTATTGTGTATACATACAATTTTTTTTTTTAGTGTCAAATCTCGATTAACTTGACATTGAAAGCGAATTTAGAATTATGAATCAATGTTAATTTTGTTTACTTATGTTTCCAAAGATTAGTGTTAATTTGGCTAGTATAGTTGAGTGGGTCGAATAAGGTATGTTTTGATTAAAGCTTGAACTGATTATGTCATGTCTTATTTTTACCTTCTCTTTCTGAAAAATGTAGATGGGTTGGTATATATTCTCGTACATATGGACTTGAAGTTCCTTAATTAATTAAATATATAGCAAAAAGTGTGTTATGAGTTCAAGTAATTAAACATGACATTGTGAGAAACTATACATAATCAACGTTTTATTATGCCCATCAATATAAGAGGTTTTGTTTTTTTTTAAGATGAATGTAATTGGGCATGAGAAACATGATAAGTGTTCTATAAGTATAATTTTATATAAGCATGTTTTTGCTAAAAGGAATATGTTACTTGATACATGACATTGCCAAAAGAATTTATGGCTTAAAAGTTGCAAGGATTTTAAAAGGTTGTTGGATTGATTCATTCCATACCCCCCATATGCAAGGATTAGGGGGAGATTGTATGTAACCCTTGCATATAAATAATAAAATATATTGATGGTCAGTTTGATACATACAATAACTTAAATATCAACGATTTATTTAATAAAAGTGACCACATGTTCATTAAATATTTTGAAATGATACCATCTTGAAGATGGATATAAACAAATGACATTTATCATATACTAGTTGTAAATGCTCTAAATTAAAATTGATGTCCTAAGAGTACAACATATGCGTGATAAATCAATAGGTTCTAAAGATAATTAAGTATATTTGAAAAGGAAAGGAGTCACTATTGACAATGACAAATTTGAGGAAGTGGTCATTACATTTCTAGAAGAAATCATTTTTAGTAAAGTTCATATGTTTCATGATTATATAAAAGACTCCACAAGAGTATGAAATATCTAACAAGATTAACATGTATCAAGTTTATAGTTTAAACTCCAATAGAGTATGAGTAATTATTGGATAAAATATTAATTGATTGTCTTGCCAATTGTATAAAGAAACACATGTTTGTGTTCTAAAATCACATCACATTCATGGCCATGCATATAGTAAGTTTAATAAAGTGATCACTAGTGTTGAAAACTGACTAGAGTTCAAATTTAGAGAAGTGATTGGATGTGATAATTAAATTAGGCCATCCGGGTTTAATAATAATTACCCGTAATGGAAACCTGAAGTTTCTTTTGATAATGTGCTGACGCTTTCTCAATGTTAAATATATAAAATGAATTGAATGGCAAGACGTAATATTGAGATTGAGTTATATTTGGATTGTAAGTTATAATAATTTGTATTGATGAAAATTTTAAGATTTAATATGTTTTGATTTTTTTTATATATATATAAAGGAGTATTGGCTGATAAAGGAGTAATGACTGACCAGAAGTTCACCAAAATAACTTATTGTCAACTATCAAGTGTTCAGAAGCTCACCAAATACACTATTTAAGTCTTTAACGATCCAGAACATCATCACCTACTAGAATTACGAGCAAGTGATTTATGCTTGTATAACAATTCTTTTGATTGGGGCTATTATATGTCAGCACATATTAAATTGGAGAAGAAATAAAAATGTACAACTGCACAACATATGTCTCCCCATTGACATTGATCTCCAGAAGAGAAAATATTATTGAAAATTTAATAATAAATACACATGAAATATAAAGTTAATGAATAAATGATTCTTCATCAAAATTGTTCTCCAGAAGAGATAAATTTTGATTGTGATCCTCCCAATGAAATGAATTTTAATGCAAATTTATATACTAAGTTGGTATAAAATTAGACGCCCCTATAAAAGAGATATATTACCAACTTAGGGGGAGAAGAAATAGCAAAAGTTGGGAAAATCAAAATAAATAAATAAATAAATAAAGAATATATATGATCCCTATAATGGTAGTTTGAAAAGTTATATATATATGCCAACTTTTGTACATATATTATCAAGATATGTTGCACATTTATGATTTGATTTGTATTCAGTTATGACTCATGTTGCATAGCGTTGAAGATACATTTTGGTCATATTAATTATGTGTATACATTGAGATAAAATCTTGTCAATTGTACTTGAATTACTACTCCTGAAGTGTAGGTTGTATATGATCGGTTCCAAAATAAAGATATGTTTAATAGATATGATATTTGGCAAGATAGTGCAGTTGACACTAATAGTGCAATAGTATATAAATACCATAGTATATGAAATACCCTAAAAGTGGTATAGATATCTGAATTATTATAATAGATGGCCTATGATGTAAGAAAAATTATGATAGTACCAATGAGAAATGTATTCAGATATCATAGTAAAATAGCATGCGGAATGTAAGTTAAAGGAATTTTATGATACCGGTACATAATGGAACCGATGAATGATATGCATATGCATAATGGAATGGACTAATAAGTAAGGGATCTGAAATATATGTACATTTTGATGTCGACATAATGATAATGATCATAAGTTTATCATGGACCCAACGTCCAATGAAATATGGATTTTTAAATCCACACTGTACAATATCTTGCATCATTTTGAGTATTATATTCATGTGCATGTGAGTCATAGGTTAATTGTTTATTGCATATGTAGGAAGTTAGATGCATTAGTCATTGTATAATTTGTTTAATATGTTATCATGTTTTATATATCTCATATTGCATGGATTAATTTCTTACAATGGTTGTGGTGTATGTGAATGTTCATTCAAAGTATAGTAAGACATATTTACAAATTTGATGAAAAATTAGAAAGAGATATTTATATTCCAATGGGCTTATAATTGTAATGAAATTATTGATGACACTTATTTAATAACATGTTATGAATCATGTAAAAGGAGTTCTTGAAGAACTTATATACGACGTATTAAATGCCCAACCCTACAATTTTTATGTCTTGAATATTGCGATTGTTATCAAACTCTTGAAAAGTCTATGTGATTACATTATTGACATCTCAACCTGAAGTTTGAGCATATAAGAGTTAGTAAGATTTACTATTTGTATTTACAAGAGAGCTATCATGTCAATCATTAAACATCTAAATAATATCAATGGAATACTTATGCGCCAGAATGTTTCTCATGGTCCAGAAGAATCATGATTAGCGTACATAATTACATATGTTATATTATAATTCATATGAGATTGAAGAATGACATTTATAATATCAAGTTTTGTCATCAAATTATTATTAATGAATGTTAAATCAAATAATGATCACCAATATTTATTATTAACGACTTCCAGAAGAAGTCATAACCGCATGAGTTTAACCTTTTTAATCAACTATTAAATAGAGATTTGGAATGGTGATATTAGAGATAAACACATATATGGTGAAATGAAGACACTTCACATGTTTACGTGAAGACTTGAAGAATTGAAGATGCAACTTCAGCTTAGGAGAGTCGAAGATCAACAAGTGATATTTTACCAACTTATTAGAAGATATCCAACATATTGGATTCATTGTTGCGACACTAGGAGATCTCAAGTTATGTATTCATAAGGGGGAGAAAATACGAGCTGCACTCTTTTTCCCTTGACCATGGTTTTGTCCCAAATTGGGTTTTCCTGGTAAGGTTTTTAATGAGGCAGCATCTCGAGCGTATTACGAAGAATGATGTACTCTTTTTCCTTCACTATGATTTTATCCCACAGGGTTTTTCGTAGTAAGGTTTTAATGAGGCACAATTTTCGATAATGGACATCCAAGGGGGAGTGTTATGAAATATTTGTGAATATCCATTATCCTCCTTTGTATCATTCCGGAACAATCTAGATCTAGGGTTTATATTCTTATCCATTCAAACCCTAATATATTGTATTTATATATACCCCATTATATGGAATAGAAATACACCGATATATTCTCTATCAATCTCTCTTATATTTCTCTCTATTTTATAATAATTATCAAATTGTTTACTTTTAAGGTTTGGGAAATGTTATCAAGAAGACCATTGACAATTAGGATTTTTTTTTTTAAATGTATTGTTACTTCGACACCCTCATTTACTTCAAAAATTCATGTTTTGTTGTATCGTGATGGACTAGACACGTAATCCTTAGCTTGTATCATTGTCTGAGTAACATGGCAATGCTAATTATTTGGAAATTCCCTGTTTCTCATGGTGAGAAACGAAATTTGTTTCTCATGGTGGCATTTTCGTGAATAAATCAACAATTTTTTCAGTATTGTGGGCTCCACAGTTAAAAAAGTTGAATAAAGTTGTTGATTTATTTACGAAAATGCCATGTGAGAAACAAAATTTGTTTCTCATCATGAGAAACTGGGGCATCCTCCTAATTATTGGGCATATTATTTTGCATAAATATGAAAATACTCCGTAATTCAAATCATCAATAGCAAAATTCATTTATAGTTTTGGACATCTGAGAAGGTGTACTACCTTACGTAGTAGGACGCGAGGCAAGGCTTATCTGCTCGGGATAGACAGCTTTTTACCCTTGCGCCCTGTGAAAAGGTTGGGCCCGGAAAAATACAAACGTGTAAACGTGTTGCTTCGGGGTGAGTAAAAGGTCCAACTAGCTGTAACTAGAGGAATTGAAAAATTCACTCTCAGTTACCGGTCTGAAGCTGTAAAACCTAGCTCTAAATACCAAAGCCCCAAAAGGGCCCTCGTGAGCCTTAGCCATTTAGGAAAGGGCTCGTTCCGGGGAGATATTGCGGATAAAGAAGGGGATACCTCACCTTCACACACATGAAAGCGAACGACGCGACGAAATTTCCCACAACAAAAGTAGTTTGGATTATTTTGTACCAAATTTAATTTCCAAGAATGAAATAATGAATTTAAATAGCCCAATAATTAACCCTTCAACATGAAGCCTACAAATAGGCCAAAAACACCTACAACAAATCCAATAATAAAATATAACTTGTAAATCCATACATTAAAATTAAAAGGCAATAACAAGATAGTTTTCAAATAAAATTGTAAAGGAACTAAGGAAGTCATAAAAAGCCTTGATCTGCAATTAGGACCCCTTTTAAGCATTTGTCTATTTTTGCCTCTTGAACATTTTACCCAAGTAAGACTTAAGCATTGATTGTACACTTTTGCTCGGTAAAGCTTCAATTCTAGTTGTTAGCTTTTCATACATTTCAATCTCATATTCAGCAAAGATGCCCTACCATAACACAATTCATACCACAAATAGTTAATTGAGGGAGAGAAGGATTAGCAATTATTGTGCACGATATATCCTAACATTATTCATTTAACATACCTGAAGATTGAGATCCTTGTAGAGGCATTTCACGGCATCTACATTTGCTGGATCCGATTTCCCATAGTTATCCTGTAAAACGAAACCCATGCACATCATCGAGCTAAGGTGTATCTACATTACTTTTAACACTAGTTACATAAACACTTGGTAAGAAAAAGAAGTTATTACACGTAACAATTTCTTTTGCTCCTCATTGCAAACTTCTAAAGCTTTTACAACCAACCATGAACACTTGAATTCTTCAATCTAAGAATCAAAATTCACAAGTTACTTTAAATTCTCTAATTTATACAGGCCAACGAATAATCATAGCACTTCAAAAAGTCACCTTGCCAATCATTTCAGGATCACCAAAGCAGTCTAAATAATCATCCTGTAAATACAAGGGAAATTGACTTGCAAATAATTCAATTACAACAATTTGTCGATGATAATTTATGGTAATTAGGGTACTCCGTACATGGTTCATTTAGACCGAGCAATAACATAAAGAAGCATTAGGATATGAAGAGCATAATCCTAGATAAAGATACCTGTACTTGGAAGTAGATGCCCATCTCAAGAAGGATGTCCTTCACATCATTGTAATCATCCAGCTTCTTACCTGGCATTAGCAAAGCGCAAGCAAACTGCACAAGAATTATTTATACTACGTATATGTATAATGTTAATGTATAATGTTAATGTATAATGTATAATGTTAATTTATAATGTTAATTTAAATAAGGCTTTTTTGCCTCTTATAGGTCCACCCACCCTAGGTTATTAGTGAGCTATGCTCTTTAAAAATGGGGAAAGGATAAGAGAATCACCATATTAAAGTACCTAGCTTTAGTAGGGTTTTATCTCACAACCTCATGATTGTGAGATTTAAACCTTTTCACTAGACCCAACTTTGCCGGATGAAAGTAGATATTTTACTTACTGGAGTATAAAATGTCCCATATGCAGTCTTGTACTTGCTGATGCGTCGTTGACTACAAGTGTGGCAGGCATAATCAATTAACAAGAAGCAAAGACTTTAGTCACACGATGCAATTGGAAATCATCAAAATTGAGTAATGAAGTTACTTTCACTCACAGTGCCAGGGTATATTTCAACAAGTCTTTCTCCTCCCCGACTGTGTCGATTAGATCAATCATTTCTCCACAAGCTGTTTGGAACAGACCCTATAAAAGAAAATTTATACAGAGTAGATGGAAAAAAAAATAACAACTCATTTACCTTAATCATGCCAGTACAAGGTGAAACCTATGTTTCACCGTCAACATGTGATTTTTGTCATTATTAACAAATTACGACTATACTTTGACCAGCTTTTGCGAATTATTGACTAAAAAAATACTTTTCGAGGTTGAAACGTATATTGTAATCAACAAAACAATAAACAACTACCTCATTGAATAATTCGAGGAGATCAACATAGTAAGATTGGTCTCGAAAGTGTTTCCTAATAATCCTATTAATATGATTCCAAAGTAGAATACCATCGTTCACAGCAATCATGCCAACCTACAAACAAACATTTAGCATGTATTAAAGCTTGTTTAATTTCAACAAATAGGAATTGAAAGAAGCAATAACAATATTTAAGAAACCTTAGGCAATCTAAACCAACAGGGCTGGCCGCGCCTCGTGTGAGAATTATCCATTATATCTTCAAGAACAAGAAGACAGCCCACCAGCTGCAAAGCATACAAACATCTATCAAAAGGACTACTTAGCACATAAGATCGATGCATGTGATCGATGAACTAACAAATTAAAAGCTGCGTGCTAAAACTTCTGATTGAGTTGATCCTCTAACCTGAATTTGAAGCGTACCCATTGAATGAACCAACCAAGGACAGACGCGCGGAAAAGCTCGTCTTCATTTGGGAGCTGGTTTCCTTTTCTTTCACTAAGTAATATATAACTTTCAACTACAGATAGCCCCCTGTTCATTTTTCCTGAAACAAAATTACAAATCAATTATAAACCAAAAAATCTCTTTTAGTTAGCAAATGATTATTATGTATGTTTATGCGGAACTATCTTAAAACATAAGTTTTGCAAGTAAATACCTTATAGGTTTTAATTTTTAAATGTTTTTTAAAAAATAATTACCTTTGTATTGAATAATGAATTCCGTTTGCTAATTTAACGACACAAAATATTCATATAGTAAGATATTTAATTTTTTTAAAAAAAAAAACTAATGGTGTACTCCATATAAGATCAACTTTAATTTTGTCTTCTTATAAACCATCAAGGAGACAAGGAGTAATTCCCTGTTTCTCCTATTGATTAACAACATTCGTTTCTCATGGGGGTAATACAGTAATTTGCAGGGGTATGAGTGGTTTTACATATTGTGAGGTATTTCTGACTATGTCCAGCTGTACAAGTAGTGCAAAAGAAAAGATGACGGTGTTAAATTTCACCGTTAACTTACAAGTGAAGATCTGCATCTTGTTCGCAAATTCAAGTGTACCCAAAGTGAAGATCGAGGGATTCAAGTCTATTTCCCTTAATTTTGAAATTAAATCTGGATTCATGACGAAATTTTGATATATTTGTAAATTGGTTTTCTTTTGGCATCCATCTCTTCCACCAGTTGCTCTTCTTCTTCCCTTTCCTCACCTTCATCCATGGAATTCAAAGACTTTCAATGGAGACTTTGAAGCTCACGAACATGTTCAATGGAGTAGGAAGATAAACCTTACCATTTGGGGTTAACCATGCCCTTCTTTCCCCATTTTTGTTAGGGTTTTCGTGAATACGGCGGCAAAGCTGACTGAAAGACAAAGGAGGACAATAAAGACGGAGGAGCACAAAGAAGATGGTGGAGGTGCGAGCTGAAGGACACGAAGGAGATGTGGTTGACAGCTTCAATGGAGGACGAAGGTATTGGAGGACAGTAGAATGAGGAACATTTGATTACAATAACGGCATCCCACATACTCAGCTGCTCATGCAAACTAATCATGTCCCACATATGTCTACTCATCAGCACAACAACACAAAAAAGTTGGAAAAAATTGCAAATATGCAACTAGAGAAACAAAACCCGTTTCTCATGAAGAGTAACTGGGGTCTCCTCACCATCAAGTAGGACAAAAAGCGTGAAAAAATGGTCATTGTCTTATATTTGATCAATAAGGGCGACTGAATTAAATTAGCCCTCATTGATCAAACAATAAGGGCGACTTAAACAATCGCCCTCTTTGATCGACCAACAAGGGCAATTGATAAAAAAAAAACACCGCCTTCTTCGATAAAATAGCAAATCACTACAAAAAAATGTCCATATAGAAACGGAATTCTAGCGACGGAATTTTATCCGTCTCTAAATTAATTTAGAGACGGAATTTAAAAATCCGTTTCTAATTTAGAAACGGAATTAAAAATTCCGTCGCTAAATTAGCAACGGAATTGAAAATCCGTCGCTAAATTAGCAACGGAATTGAAAATCCGTCTCTAAATTAGAAACGGATTTTTTTTCATTGCTAAATTAGCAACGGATTTTTTTTCCGTTGATGAATCTAGCAACGGATTTTTTTCCGTTGCTAAATTTAGAGACGGATTTTTTTTCCGTTACTAAGTTAGCAACGGATTTTTTTTTTCCGTTGCTAAGTTAGAGACGGAATTTTTTTTTCCGTTGCTAATATGAGCAACAGATTTTTTATTCCGTCTCTAGATAATTTTTTAAACTAATTATTTAAAATATTACATTAGAGACGAATTATGTAAGTTAAATTCATCTCTAAACTAGAAACGGATTTTCAAATCCGTCTCTAATTTAGAAACGGATTTGAAAATCCGTTTCTAAATTAGAGACGGATTTTAAATTCCGTTTCTAAACTAGAGATGGATTTTAAATTCCGTCTCTAATATTTCTTTCATTTATTATCAATTATGTGCGTAAAAGTAAACAAATAATATTTGGTATAGTTGGTAAGAGTATCAATATTTGACATTGAGGTCACGAGTTCGACTCCTACTAACAGTAATATTGCGATTGGAGATTCAGGGAGCGTTACATGGAAAGCCGAGTCGGGTTGACCCTAGTGAGGTCGACCCAAATAGCAGCTTTTTTTTCGATTCAAAGTATTTTTTCCGTTGCTGAATCTAGCAACGGATTTTTTTTTTCCGTTGCTGAATCTAGCAACAGATTTTTTAATCCGTTGGTAAAGCTAGCGACAAATTTATTTTTCCGTTGCTAAATCCAACGACGGATTTATTTTTTCCGTTGCTAAATCCAGCGACGGATTTTTTTTTCCTTTGCTAAGTCCAGCGGGTGATTTTTTTTTTCCGTCTCTAAATTCATTTAGCGACAAGGTTTTTACCAACGGAGTGATTCCGTTGATAAATCCGTAGCTAGCTATGTCCAGCGACGGATTTTTAGCAATTAGCAACGGATTTCACCTGTTGCTAAAAGGCCAAATTTTTGTAGTGAAATAGGGTGACCATTAAGGTAAGTAATTCCACAAAATTTTCTAATTATAAAGCATTAAATTGTGTAATTAGGAGAAATAAGCAACTTCCTAGAACGTTATAATCCAGCATCTGTCAAAAAAATAAATAAATAAAGAATGACAAAAAAAAATATAATTAGCAAGCAACAACCGAAAGAAAAAGTAAACTAGTATTTAAAAAGGAAATAAAAAAAAAAATCAAAGAATCAGAACAAATGAGCTACTTACTTGTTGGAGCCATTGGCGGGAGGCATGGTGATAATCGACGGCAGGATCTTGCAGCAACTCCTTCTTCAGGACATAATAAACTTTCTTAAATCTTTCTATCATTTTATCCTTTTCTCCCTCCATCTTCCTTAATTAGCTAGCTTATTTAACCCAATTTATGTTTTCCAATACTTGATTGATTTTGGTGAATTTTGTGAAAACAATGAAGGAATTTTAACCAAGACAGCACACCAAATAACAATTTTCAAGGGCATGCAAACAATATCATTTTTTTATCAGTTATATACAGCATTTATATCAGTGGTTTATTAAAAAATAATGAATGTAAGAGAAAAGAATACGGAATAATAAAATACAAATTTTTATATGCGGCTGACCACATGGTGCGCGGCAAGGGTTACTTGTAAGGTGTTAGTTTTGTTAGGGGTTACTTGTAGGTGTTACTTGTATTATGGGGTTACTTGTATGGGTGTTACTGGTTTTGGTCAAGGGTTACTTGTAGGGTGTTACTGGTTTTGTCAGGGGTGACTTGTAGGTGTTACTTGTATCATGAGGTTACTTGTACGGGTGTTATTGGTTTTGGTTGGGGGTTACTTGTAGGGTGTTACTAGTTTTGTCGGGGGTTACTTGTATTCTGGGGTCACTTGTATGGTGTTACTGGTTTGGTATGGGGTTTTGGTTTAGAGTTACTTGTAGGAGTTACTCAGAATAAAAGTAACACATACAAGTAACCCCGCGATACAAGTAACCCCACGATTCAGGTAACCTCATAATACAAGTAACCCTATAATACAAGTAACATATTACAAGTAACCTCTGTCGCACCATGTGACTTGCCACACTGAAAAACCTCTGATAATAAAAAGGAGGTAGTGGGTTTGTGTGGGGATTATGAAAGCCTGCGAGGATAGAGTCATAGAGATATAATTTTAAGAGAAAAAAATGTGATACTTAAAAAAAAAACACAGTTGTATTTAATAAGGGTACCGCTTACAAAATATGGAGTATAAATGAATTTTAAGTAAAAAATTAATACAAGTATAAAGAGGAAAGGATAATTAATTAAATACTCTATATGTCGTTTGATAGTAGGTATTAATATAAAGTTTATAATACTCCCTCCATTTTTAAATACTTGCTCCATTTATCTATGCGTGGAGTTTTAGGAGAAATTGAAGAAAGTATGGAGGTAGTGGGGTAGTTGAAAAAATAAACAATTGTAAAAAGCAAATGTAGTGGAGAGAATTAGAGGAGAGAGAATATTAAATTAATAAAATATGATTTATATTAGGTCCACTAGGTGAGAGAAATAAATTAAATATTATAAAAACATTCCAAATAAGGAAATGGAGCAAGTATTTAAAAACGGCCGAAAAAAGGAATGTGGAGCAAGTATTTAAAAACGAAGGGAGTATTACTTTTATTATAATTTTCATTAATATTTAATAATACAAAAACAAGGTCGATCAAACTATGCATCGGCATGTGTGTAAACTATAAAGGTTGATTGTGTCAGTTCTTTTTAAAACAAAGGGAGTAAGAATTGTGTCTATTTGCTTGTCATTATTTTTGTTGTTGGGGACATTGATCAGATAAGATTTTTTGGGGGTCATTTTGATCCTATTTCGATCCAAATTAATACATAGTTCAATCAATTGATCAGATAAGATTATTATATAATGTACTCCATATTAAAATAATCCAACTATCAGATCTCATATTGGTATTTGAATCTACGTATTTATTTTTATCATTATAATCCCTTCATTTTTAAATACTTGATACATTTCTCCATACGCAAAATTTTAGGAGAAATTCAAGAAAATAATAAAATATAAAAGTAATAGGGTAGGTGGAAGAATAAAAAAAATTTGTATTTCGTAAAAAGCAAAAGTAATTGAGAGAATTGGAGAGAGGACATGAAATTAATAAAATTTGATTTATGTTGGAGTCACTAGTTGAACAAAATAAATTAAATATTGTAAAACTTTCCAAATAAGAAAATTGAGTGAGTATTTAACACGATCGAAAATGAAAAGTGACGCAAGTATTTAAAAACAGATGGAGTACCTTTTAATGGTATTATTTATTAATTTTGTAGTTTGAACGAACTTCTCAAATACCATATAGGTGAGTATATCTTATGGAGTATTAATACAAGAAGAGAGAATTAAACTTTTTATTACGAAGTATAAGGTTAAAATTAAAAGTTACGACGTACTCTTGCTATTGTCATATATTCATGATATGTA